CGGTCATGGCGGGGCGGAGGCAGTGGCACCAAGCGACCATGCAGCGAGCCGGCGAGGGCGCGTCCAGATGTGAGTTTCTTTTATGACTGGAAGCTACAGTTTTCTTAAAAGTACAATTTCAAAATTATGACCTTCCTGGTCTCCTTTCTATCTTTATTTCTTCTACCTCATTTCAGACAGAGAATGGAAAGGTGTGTGTGAAATGGAAGAGCTGAAACCTTGAAAGTATGACCCAGAGCAGGAGACAAGTGACTGATTATCAGATGGTACAGAACCACGTGGAACAGCAGTGCTACTGACCTGACGTAAATGTCTAATTCTCTCAGTCTCTTCCATCATTTGATTCTCACAAGACTCTTTGTTCTTGGACAATTGAATGTGTCTTGTGGGGGGGGGAGGTGGGGGACTATTATTCAAGAGGACATTGTGTATGAAGACAGGAACTATTAAGCGCTGTGTGAGGAAGAGCATGTGGAAGGTACTGAAAGTGGTAAAAGATTTGCCAACAGTCCTGGAATAAAGAAAAGTTAAGAGTTTATTGATACACTGCAAGAGAGCACAGAGTGAGTTCCAAGGGCAGACTGCACCATCAAGGAGAAAGGTGAGACTTTTATAAAGGTTTGAGAACACAAAAAAGGTATGGGGCGATCAAAACAAATGTCAAAGGAAGGATTTATTTAGGTCAGCTTGCACTCTGTTTTCTTCACAGGAACACCTTTATTTTGTCAAGAATTACACATCAAAGGAGCAAAATTAACAATGGTCCACTATTTGTGTCCTCACAGAAAGCCTTAAGACTTGAAATAGGGACACGTGTATCAACTCTAAGGAAAGGGTCACAGGCCATTGGTAAGAAACATGTGGTCCACATCAAAGGCAGGTTTATCATTTACTTTTATGTGTAATTTAACCTGTACAGAATGTTATGCCCACTTATAGCGCTGGTTCAGAGAAGCTTGATGGGGTAAGAGACTGGGCTTACTTTACTGCACTGTAACTGCAGATTAACTCATTTGCCACCTGTTCAGTCTCCACATTAAATTAAAAGGAAAAAAAAAGAGATATCACCATGTTTTGAC